GGACCGCCCAGGCTCGCCGGCCCCGCCTGGCTGCACGTGGCGTGGGGTGGCCTTGCGCGTCCCCCTTCTGGGGTCCCCGTTTACAGGACGCGGGGCTTGTGTGGTACCTTGTTAAGCTCGTGGTGCAGGTGCGGGTGGTTAGGGTGATTGCGCCGAGTTTTCCACCCCCTTTTTGCCTCACCTGCGTAAGATTGGTTGTTAGTCGTCTCCCATCTTCCAGAGCAGCTTCCTCTTTCGACTGTCCCTCCTATTTTACAGATGAAACGAAAGGGAGATTTGTGTACCTCGACCGTTGTGTGAGTTTGGTTTTTGGGAAGGTTTCCGAAGCGGATAATGCAGTGATCCAGGTTTTTGAGGGTCACGGGTCTCAAACTTGAGAGCTGTGGAGGCTTTCCCCGGGAGACTGCACGTTCAAAATTTTACAGTCTCAGAAGTTCCCATTTTCATGGAGCTTGTCCTTGGGTTCTTGGTGTGTAAGGTTTGACTTAGTTTTTAATTAAAAATGAGATATTTAAGTATGCTAGAACACGTGATTAACTCAAAGGTGTTGTAACCTAAGTGTGTCGAAGGTCTTAAAATCATAAAATAGCAGAGTTTTAACAGCCATTGTGTCTCAGAAAACTTTTTCTTTTAAATACAAAGTGCTGAAAGCTTATTTTCTTAAAGACTTCTGGAACACACGTCTCCACCCCACTTTCCTCCCACTTGGAATGCAGTGAAAAGATAAAAAAATTTTGTTTGTTTTAGGGGTAGAGTTGGTTTTGGCTTGAATTGAAGTTACTAGGCCTTGTGTGCACACTAGGAGGGCTGGGTCCATTCTTCAAAATCAGAAGTTTTTCTTTGCTTATTTAGCCTCTTGACTTAGTTGTTTTTGCTCATTGGTTTCTGCTACTTAGAATCAGTAACCCAGAGTCAATAACCCTCCAGAGTGTGACACAATGAAGTTGTATTCTCTGCTGTCCAGCCTACAGTAGTTACACATTTTAAATAAAACCCCTGGTTTTTGTACTGATTGGATATGGTGATTGGGAGAAGTTGGAGTGGGGTGGGTGAAGAAGATTGAAGGGATGAACTCATGAAAGACAAAATGGAACTTTGCAAGCAATTTTAACATGGTATCTGAAATTATAAAGACAGTGTTTTTATATGTGAGAAGTCAAAGAATTTGTTTTTGGAGAAGGGGAGTGTAAAGGAAAAGTTGCTCTGTGCTGTGTTAGTTTTAAGCCTAGCATGCCTTGTCATTATGATTCTTTTGGTTGCTCCCAGGGATTATCTTGAACACATAACATCCATTGGCCCCAGGACTACAGGGAGTCCAGAAAATGAAATTCTGACGGTGCATTACCTTTTGGAACAGATTAAACTAATTGAAGTTCAAAGCAACAGCCTTCACAAGATTTCAGTCAACGTACAGAGGCCCACAGGCTCCTTTAGCATTGACTTCTTGGGAGGGTTTACAAGCTATTATGACAACATCACCAACGTTGCGGTAAAGCTGGAACCCAGAGATGGAGCCCAGCATGCTGTCCTGGCTAACTGTCATTTTGACTCAGTGGCGAACTCACCAGGTATGTACCTGTTTTTTATCATTTTGAAGTCATCACAGCCCAGAAAGTTGGTTAACTACATGCTGTTTGAGCAATTGTGGGGCACCATTTTCTTAGACGAACCCTTTTTCATTGTGATGGAAGGCATGATGATTAGAATAGTATCACTTAAAGATCTACCTTCCTGTATTCTCTCAAGTGCTTTATTTACTTAATTTTTAAATATTAGTGCTAGCAGCGCAGTGACAGGACATTGAGTGTTTCTGGCAGACTGAAGCTGTCTTATCAGCGTTACCAGTGTGTGTTTCTGAGTCCTAGAGTTAGGCTCTGCCACTTCAGGTGTTTACTCAGCTAGGTGTTGTGCTAGCCTTTGGGGATATGGAATAAAGGAACAGTCCTGGCCTACAAGGAACACATGGTTTGGAGGCTCGCTCTCCTAGCAGTTTCTGTCCACCTGTAAAGTGAGAATATATTGGGGGTGCCATACTGTTAGATTATCTCATTAATCCATAAATCTTACTCTGAAAATACTTTGGCAAAATAGAGTACTTGTTTAGGACAGTGCCTGACACAATAAATATTTGTTGGATGAATGAGTATCTCCTAAATTGAACTTCCATTTTTTAAAATAAGTTTCCTCAGAAAAAGGTTTCAGTAGCTAGAGATTGTAAATAGAAAAGGACAGAAAATAGTAGCATTTTACAGTGAGATGACATCTGGTTCAGCCCTCTTATTGACATAGGAATAAGCTTAGCTGAACACCACTGATCTGAGACATGGCCAGGACTGGGTTTCCTGGCTAGGCAGTTCTTTTAGTTATATTTGAAAGGAAGGGGAGTACTAGGATGTAGTTAATGTTCCCTTTCGCAAACTAACTTCTTCTTTCCTCAGTTTCTGATCTGTAAGAATAGTACTTTTTGTAATGGCATTGCTTAGAGGTTTAAATGAGGATTAAATGCAAGTAAAATAGAATAGCAACTGGCATGAAAAATCTTTTTTTTTTTTTGCTTTTAATTGTTATTAAATACTTCCAGATTGCTTAAACTTAAACCAGACCAAATAGAAACATCTAGAGTTATGCAAAATATAAAAAAAATTTATGTGCTTGATTAAACTATACTAAGATATCTTTAATTAGAAATCTTGCCAGTTGTATTTAGAATGTAACATGCTTTTAAAAAAATCAGTATGCACTCATCTGTTTTATAAAGTCAGAAATAGCCTGTGTGTGCTGGGGAAATTGGTCGTCTTTTATGTCCATTTCAGAGCGTTAATAAAATAATGCTATTAATGATACTTACAATCTAGGAAGGGACAGATTAACACCATGGTTATTTAAGAGCATTATATAAGAAAAATGTGTATACAAGTCTCACAAACAAATCGTGCCATGTGTTGGAAATAACATATATGGAGTTCGATAATGAAAGAATGGCATTTTGTGGGTCATTGGAACCCATTTTTAACTAAACTTCTGTGAGAATACCTATACCAGCAGTCTCAAGGAAATTTCTGTCATTAATACATTGTTAAAAAATAATTTTAAAAACATTCATAAAATACACCATCACCTAAACCTTTTTAGTGAATGAAATAACTGAAGCATGATTATTTTTAAAAGGTACTTCTCAGCAAGGTGTCTGGAACTCAGGAACTGATACCAATTAGGAGTAATGTTACCCACAGCAAGTCCTTAAGTATCTTCATGGGTTTGCTACTTAGCTCCAAGTTGTTGGTAGGAGAGACATTGAATTATTCTGGGGGTGGCTTCAATTTCAGGGTTAATTCTAAGTGGAAAGGGACCATGCAGCCCTTATAGATACTGTCCTCTAATTTCTGTCACTTTCTTAAAGATACCTTCCCCTTCTCTAGTTCTGTTCTCAGACACCAGAGCCATTAAAATAAAGGAAGATAAAAGGACAGTTTAACTTTTAATCAACGCTGTGGGGATAAATATCTTTCAATATCCCTTTCTCTTCCTTTGAATAAGGAGAAATTTTATTGCTTGCTTTTTATTTTAAAGTAACTCACAATCTCAAAGTTACTTATTTCATTTGGTTTTTTGAAAGGTGGCACTTTTTTCTGATAGCTACGTGTACTTCCTACTGGATAGTAATTAGATAATTATTACTTTGTTCCACTTTGATTAAATTACTGTCCAATGATCACTACCAAGACAAGTATAGCTAATAAGTAGTTTCTTCTCAAGTAGGAATGGGGTCTGGAATTAAACAGCGCCCAAACCAAGCATTTTCACTGGCTGCAGAGCCTTCCTTAAGTTTGCAAATAGGAGAAGGAAGAACTAACATTGAATGCCTACCACATGCTAGGCACTGTGCATTATCTTGTAATCCTCACAACACACCTGTGCAGTAGGTATAATTAACCTGCCCTCTAGACCAGGAAATAGTAAGGTAAAGGGGCAGAGCTAGAATTTATATCCAAGTCTTTCTTACTCTAAAACCCACACTAATCTCTGTAGCACCCTTCCTCGCAGTACGTAAACCCAGAAATGCTCGCTCTTGGATTATTTATGTGTCTGTTTACTTTGATTGTTCTTTAAACTTTTCATTATGGAAAATTTCAAATAGATACAAATAGAGAATTGTTTAATGAACCTGAGTGAATCTGTCACCCAGCTTCAACAGTTTGGTCTTGCTTCTTCTCTGCCCTGACCCCCCCTTGACTATTTTGAAGCAGATCTCAGTTATATCAGTTACTCTGTTAAGTATTTTGGTCTATATGGGTGAAAGTTAAGGACTCTTTTTTTTTTTTGACATGCTCATAAAACCATGAATTACTGAAAAACTTAATAATTCCTTAATATCATCAAATATCCAGTCAGTTCTTTTAAGTACCTTTGATAGTACTTTTAAAAAGTCAAGGCACTAAAGTCATCTTTATAATTACCTTTAATTAATAATATAAAGTTTCTGAATCAAGAGGTTAAGTGATTTGATGAGGTCCTCTGCTTTATCAGTGCTGGGACCAGGGGTACTTCCTAGGTCATTGGTCTCCTTTCCTGTATCTTACTAGATTAGGTGTCTTCTTCGTACTTTTTCATCACATGATACCCTTGGAGAACCTTAAAAAATGCTACAGTAACCAAACTGATCCCTTTATAAATGTGGAATGGTCTGTATCTTTTATGATTTTGGCAGGAAAACAAGCAGGAAAGGAGTGGCTAGTTGGAGGTGATACAGGAAGCTGTGAACACCAGGAGTGAGAATGCTACGAAGGATGTGGGATAAGGATAAAGAGTAAAACAAATTGCTCTGGGTGATGAGAATGCCAGTTTTCAATATTGCTTTCAATCCCCTCTGGTTATTTAACAAATAATAATTTAGCAACTGCCGTGGGTCAGGCACAGTTCTAGATATTGAGGGTAAATCAGTAAACAAACCACAGATTCCTGCCCTCATGGAGTTTACTGCTGGTGGGTGTAACTGTCACCTTATGTTCACAGAACTATGCTCCTTGAGGCTGTTGTGATGCTTTGTTGATGAGAAAACTCTTTCTTTCCATAATGGTTCATCTTGTAAAAGTTTTAAAATCTCAGAAGCAAATCTGTTCCTCTGATTTAAAGGTGCCAGTGATGATGCAGTTAGCTGTTCCGTGTTGCTGGAAGTCCTTCGTGTCTTGTCCGCGTCTTCAGAAGCCTTACATCACGCCATCATATTTCTCTTCAATGGTGCTGAGGAGAACGTCTTGCAAGTAAGATTTTACAGTTTTAAATACCAGGCTAGAGTAATAATGATAATGAGAATAATAGTAATGATAATTGCTAACACTTAGGCATTTTATTTGAGTAGTATCATAAAATGACATGCAAAAGAAATGCTATACTGGGCAGTGCTTTAAAAAAATCTACAGCCTCTTATGTACACATGTTCAGTATTGGAAAACTCGACTTAGACGAGATCATCTTGTCAGTGTTTGAGTCACGTAAGGGCTTCGTGATGACATAATTATTTGCTGTAGGTTTTCTTTGGCCCTAGAGTTCCATAGATGTTTTGAGGCAGGCTCACAGCAGCATGAATGCTCAACCATAGCGATTGTCCCTTCACTTCTATTGTTTTGGCCTTTCTTTTGCACAGGCTTACACTACAGTAAGATGTTGTTTGGCTCCACTCATGAAAATCAGGCTGCCTTCTGTGATGAATGACTTTCCACTGAGCAAACTGCAGACAGCCATTAGGCAGAGAGAGAGAAGCAGATAGATGTCTTTAGACCCTGCCTTAGAAAAAAATGATTGTTTTGTTTTCCTATCCTTCCCCTCATCAACATAGACATTCCATCTTTAAAAAAGCAAAATAAAGACTTTAATAATTTAAGATTGTTTAACAGCTGTTTTCTTTCCTTCTCATTCAGGCCAGTCATGGTTTTATTACCCAGCACCCCTGGGCCAGCTTGATTCGTGCATTTATTAACCTGGAGGCAGCGGGTGTAGGAGGGAAAGAACTTGTATTCCAAACAGGTGAGTGAGGCTGTGCGTTTTATATTTTAATGCAATTCTTGTTTCTATAAAAGTGGAAATTTTTAAAATGTATGTAATCTCACTAATGAACTGAACATTCTTTTTAAAACATGAGATAGTTTTAGTTTTTCTTAAAGTTTTTAACAAAATAATATTAATTTGAATGTCATAAAAATCCAAGAATAGTAATCATAATTCATAGCTCAGATTTGTCCAGTCAGGGCATACTAAAATCTGACGCTGATAGTTTCATGCCATTTTCCTGCTCTGTTAGAAATTTGGATAAAGGATTTTAGCCAGAGATGTAGCATTTGCTAGAAGCTTAATAATGAGTGTGTTGAGGCATGAGATGGGCCAGAGGGAGTGAGGAAGGTGATATGGGAACTTGTTTTTTACTTTTAGCACCCTTCACAGACATATTGTTTAAGTTATAAAAGATATGCTAAGTATGGCTTCATAACCTAAGCACTACCATATTTTAATATTCCAACGTATTTTAAACTTTTACTGCTTAAAATGCATGTATGTTTTAACTTCAGCTAAACTTTTGAGAATTCAAGGTTTTATGAAGTTAGAAGTAGGGCTCTCCTTTCTTTTCAACTCAAATCTTTCTGCTTACTCTGCATCTGACTAGTGAGAAAAAGCTCGTCCAGTATCTATAGGAGTAAGTGATGCTACACTATTATCTCTTTCACTCTAATTCTGGATGTCAGTCAGGATAGGAAGAACACTTGCTATAACAACCACCAGATCAAAAAGCAGCAAGAGAACATTCTGTAAGCGGAGAGGACACTGGTGAAAATATTAGCACTGCACATGGGCAGGAGGGTGTCTTTGTATGATTTCCCTCCTGGAAGTGTACAGTATGTTAAGTACCTTCATATCCATGCTTTTACTTTGTTATCACAGTACCCTGCCCCTGTACTTCTACAGCCCAGAGAAGAACCAGTCTTAAGGTTTGGTCTCTGCCTTCCCTGCACTTTTTTCTGTGCATATATATTAATGCATACATATTCTGTGTGTATATATTAATATATTTTTCATATATAGAGAGAGGTAAAAACATATTTACCTATCTCCTGGGTATATATCTGAAAAAAACAAAAACACTACTTTGAAAAGATACAAGCACCTCAATGTTCCTAGCAGCATTATTCACAGTTGCAAGGATATGGAAGCAATCTAAGTGTCCATCAACAGATGAATGGATAAATAAGATTTGGTATATATATATATACACAATAGAATACCACTCAGCCATAGGAAGGAATGAAATTTTCCATTTGTAGCAACGTGGGTGGACTTGGAGGGCATTATGCTAAGTGGAATAAGTCACACAGAGAAAGACAAATACTGTATGATATCAGTTATATGTGGAATCTAAAAAATACAGCAAATTAGTGAATATAACAAAAAAGAATCAGACTCACAGATATAGGGGACAAACTAGTGGTTACCAATGAGGGGAGGGGCAATGGAGGGGTAGAGGAATGTGAGGTACATACTGTTGGGTGAAAAATAGGCTCTATTGTACAACAGGGGTAATATCGCCAATACTCTGTAATAATTGTAAATGGAAAGTAGCCTTTAAAAATTGTATTAAAAATTAAAAAAAATTTACCTGGATTTAGTGAGGTTTTGATCCAAGTCATTTCTTTTATTTATTTACTCACTTGCTGGGTCTGACTAATTTACAGTTCATGCTCTCTTTACTAAATGGAGAAAGTTATACATAAAAATTCTGCAGTTTACATTTTAGATATAATTGCATTATTTGGAAGGATATAAACAAACTGTTAATAACAGTCATCCCTGGATGGTGGGCACTGGCTGGCAGAGCTGTGGTGGGTGTGGCTGGCATAGAGGATGGGATAGAATATAAAAAACCAGTTTGAACTCTCCATTCCTTCACGAACTTAAAACCGGAACTTGCCATTATTGCTTTACTTACACTCTTAATAGTTTTCTGTGTTGTTTACATTTTTCCATTGAATGTAATAACTTTAATAATAAAGCAAAAACAGACTTGTCACTAGTTAGCAGTATGTATATACAAATTAAGTTTTACTCATTCTAAAATAAAGTTCCCATATTTCAAAATTAATTTTTTTCTGGAAGGCCTCCTACAAAAGACTTGGAAAGAATGTCCCCTTTGTCTGAGTCTTTGTGTGCTGTGTCCCCTCTTGGTTTTTGTAGCTTATTCTTGTGGCTGAACTGTATGCCTGAAAGCTTTCTGGGTGCTTTTTGAAGGTCCGATATCTTTCCCAGTATCTCTCTCAGTTCCAGATGCCCTTCCTACAAAAGACTAGCTTTCTTATGGGGGTTGCATCCAGAAGCTAGCGTTGCTTCCGTGTCTGACTGACGGAGGATGAGGCCTCTTGGGTCTGGAGCCCTGGGGAGCATTGCCAGACTGCTGCGTCCTGTGCTTTGCAACAGCTCTTTTATCCTGCACAGTAGCGCTTGTCCTGCCCTGGGAATGTTTCAGTTAAAACAGTTTGTACTCTCTAATGCTCCATTGTCACTTCCAAGAGACATTCGTTTGGGGAGTTTTTAGTGACTAGAATAATCATTACTACCTAATTTTTAAAAAGGGCTAGGATGCATGAAAGAATGGCTTGATTTATCAGACTAGTGATTTATATCATGAGTTAAGGAGGCTTGATTTAATAATTTTGAAGGTGTTATAAAATCCACTGTTAAAAAATTTAAAGAGATTAAACCAGTAATATATGTTCCTTGTGAAAAATTTAGATGCTACCAACCTTGAGTAGAAGAAAGCCCATAAGCAAATGGGTCACAGAATTCTTTTTTTCTCATGTGAAAATTATCCATGACCCTGTAATCTTACCACCAGTGTTACAGGTTTAGTTTCTACCCTTCTGGAATTTTTTCAAGTCGTATATATACACACACACATACATATATATACACATATAATTTTTTCTTACAAAAGTGGGATCATACTCTGCCATTTTATAGTGTGCTTGAGATTCCATTCTTGTTTGTTTTTAATTAACAGCTTTACTGAGATATAGTCTACATACCCTACAATTTCCCATTTAAAGTGTTAAATTTAGTAGTTTTAGATATATTCACAGGGTTGTGTAGTGTAGTTAATTTTAGAATCTTTTCATCACCCCAGAGAGAAACCCCATATTCATGAGTGGTCTGGCTTCGTTCAGTTCTTATAATAATTTTGAGGTTCATCCACGTTGTAGTGTGTATCAGTACTTCATTCTTTTTTTACGGCTGGATTATTTTCCATTGTATGGATAGCCTACATTTCATTGATCTGTTCATCAGCTGATGGACACTTGTATTGTTTCTACTTAAAGCCATTATGAATAATGCTGCTGTGAATATTTGTGGGTAAATCTTTGTGTGGACATATATTTTCATTTCTTTTGGTTGGATACTTGAGAATAGAATTTCTGGGTCATATGGTAAACTTATGTTTTAACTTCTTAAGAAACTGCTCCACTAAGTTTCATTTTAGAAGAAATGTAAATTCAAATAACACTAAATTTTTTATTAGATTTTCAAAATTAAATAAAATGATAATGCCCAGTTCTGATGAATACAGAGGAACAAGCATTTGCGTACACTGTTGGTGGGAGATTAGACAGGTGCAGTTTGGGGCAATTTGGCCGTATGTACCACTTAAAAAATGTGCAGACTTTTCTGTCCAGCAGGTCCACTTGTAGGAATTTATCCTGTAGAAATAGTTGCACATAGATGTACAGATCTAAGTACTGCATAATCTTTTTGGCTTTTTAAACAGGAGTGAAAAATTGAAAACACCTCCCAGGTCCGAGCATACGAGACTGGTTATTATTAATGATGAGTTAAATTTTTTTTTAGCCTCTTCTGTCATTAATTTTTCCTCCCTATGAGTGATTTCCTATCATTACACAAAGATGCTTTTTTCCTCTTCTTTAAGAAAACAACTTTTGACTCCTCCTCAGCCCCCAGCTACTGCCTCACTTCTCTGTTCTCATCAGTTGAAAAATTCCTTGAGAGTGGAACTCCTTTGTTCCTGTTCTTGAATCAGTTCTAGTTAGCTCTAAGTTCCCCATTCCTCCAGATTTGCTCTTGTAAAAGTCATGCGGTAAATTCACTGGTCAGTTCTCAGGCCTCGTCTTACTTGGCTTCCATAACAATATTCGCTGGTCTCAGTCTCCTTTATTAGTGCCTCCTTGTTCTGGTTCTTCTGGGCATTGATGCTACCTACCAACTGAAGTTAGAAGGAAGTGGAGCGGAGGGATGATGCTGTGTGTGACTGAGTTGGGTCTGCTTTTACTGGTCTTCCAAGAAACTTTGACTTTTCACTGTTGACACTGAGATCTACATTTCCTCAACATGACACATACTCATACCCTTTGCTTTAAGAAAGATGGGGCTCATTCTTTAAGAAGAAATGGATGCACTAGAAACTGGAAGCACTGTAGGATTTATTTTATTTTATTTTTTGTGACTTTTTATTTTAAGATAATTACAGATTGACAGGAAGTTACAATGATAATACAGAATGGTCTCTTGTACCCCTTCACTTAGTTTACCCAATATGTTACATCTTGTGTAACTATAATACAGTATCAGAACTAGGAAATTTCCGTTGGTAGAAAATTAGTATATAGCTTTGATTGAAAGACATTTTGAAAGTGTTATGATGTATTACAGCATATATTGCAGAAATTTTTGTTTGTTTTGCTTTTTGGGTTTTTTTTTTTTTTTGTAGATGACAGCAAGAGAAAGACTGTAAGGTGAAAATACTTCTGTGTCTGCCTCCCACCTTTCTCTATGAGTTAATCAAAATAGAAGTTTTTTGGGGGGAGGCAGGGAGGGATGTAGTGATTAAGAGCACTGACTCAAGTTCAGCTCTCAGCTGTAGTGCACTGTAGGCTTGCAGCCTTTGACAAGTCACACGTAACTGCTCTGTGTTCAGTTCCTCATCTGTAAAGTTGGGATGGTAGTGGTTTCTACCTCTTAGGATTAATAAC